GTCCATGTAGCTACCAATCGCAGAACCCCAAACACATGATTATGTCCTGCCCTCGATGGTCAAACGGAAGAGGAGAGATCTGGAGACAAGCTAAAGATCGGTCCTACGAAGCTGTGCTAAGCAATCCTGGAGATATCAAAAGGATAACACAGTGGATCCTAAATCATGGTTGGATAGAGCAATTCCAGATGACAAAGGCGGTTGAAATGCTGCTGAGGGAAAGGAACAGGTCATGCCTTTCTTGAGGTCGATAAAGCTGATGTGATTGGGTTGTATGGAGGGCACCATAGTGAAACTGCGCTTCCTAAAGGATAATTTATAAAAAACATAGAAATTAAGCAGGAAGGTTTGGGGGGTTTTCACCAAAAGGTTTCCTCCCATGTAAGTTAGAAAGTATATAGACACTTGTATGGGCCCATAGGGCGCCAAATCAGGATAATGAAATCAAATTCAAATACCTTAGTAGGGCCCAAAGCAGTATTGCAGTTCAGATAAGAAGTGAGCACATTGGTCTCATATCTTATCTGTATCGAAGGAAAGTCCCCAGAATGATTAATCCAAAATGATTAATCCAAAATGCCAGTGTGAATATTCGTCTCAAAATGTCAAACAAATGGTCTTGGCGTGTCCTCGGTGGGCAATGAGAAGAGGAGAGGTGCTTCGAAAAGCAAAAGACAGGTCATTTGCGGCAGTGATGAACAGCCCAGATAATATAGAGAGAATTACGAAATAGATCCCGGCAAAAGGCTGCTTTGAACAATTCCGGCTTGTAGGAGTAGTAGAAATGGCATTGGACGAAAAGATGAGACGATGTGAACAAGGATAAGATGGAATTCACACTGTATAAACAGTGTAAACGCACTTCCTGTAGGAAACCTCAGAAAACAAATAGACACGAGACAGACAGTTTTGTGGGTTTTTACCGAATTTGGTTTCCTCCTGTGACGAAACCAAGCTGGTTGTAGTGTACTTTTAGAAAGATTAAGCTATATGAAGAGAGAAGTATAACAACTACGGGCAATGACTATTTGTACATCCTTCTAGCTCATCTAATACGTACTCTGTTGGTGAGAATGACATATTGCTCCGCCACTGCGCGTCGTCATCTTTGCCATCTAGCTGACTCTCTCACTTGGCAATTCTACTTCGCCGTCTCACATTCCTTCCTAGCTTTAATATCATGTGGCCAAGTGAAACTTAGTCGCTTGATACAAGATAATATGTAACACTCTCCCGAATACGCCCCCAAACTCCGCTTAGGTCTCCGCCTAAGCTAAACCACGGTCAAACTGTAACACCTCCTGTGTAAATATTATAGCTAGATATACCTGCATGGGCCCATAAGGTACCTGAACGGGCTAAAAGAAATCAAATCAAAACCTATTTACAAGAGTTCAAAGGTTTTCGAATCACGAAATAGAGCCACAGTCTTATCCTAACCTTGGATCTAAACTTGTTGCTGGATTATTTTCAGGCCTCAATATCTGGTAGTTCCCCCATCAGCATTTATCATAGCCTGACATCTTGCAGGCATACCCTGAATGAGTCTTACAAGATCTTCGGAAGATACGGAATCCCGTGCCTCCATTACAATCTTGCGAAGACTTTCTTGAGTTCGCTGCTTTCCGCAACCCAGGTTCGGGTGATGGAGGGCAAGACTGAACATCTGTGCGCGGTGTCCTCTACGAACCTTGGAGTGAAATATTCTCCCAGAGCCAAGTTCAGTCAAATTTCGCAATATCAAAGAAGTTGGCCCACGAGGCAAAAATTCAAATTACTCCACCATATCAATCTTCTACTCCCGAAGAGTCCGATTCTCAACTAAGCTTCATCAAGACTACAAGTACGATCTAGTAAATCCTCGTTTCAATGACCACACCTCTCGTCGACCTTCTCTGGCCTCAGCCGGTCACCAAATACACGCCCACGACGATGTTTATACCCGACGGAGGAAGCAAAGCGTAGAGCACAAATCTTGGAGAAAGCTCTTTGGGATGGACGTGAGAGGGATCAGGACAAGTTTACAAGATGATGCAAAAGAGGGAAACATTCTCGACGGGCGTGAAATTTCGAACTTTGGCAAAGAGTTTTTACAGATTGAGCTTTGCCACCGCCAAGACTTCGCTTGCGAGAGTGCAGTTGACACTATAAAAACAAGCAAACGATGGAAGGTGTTGTGGTCCGCCTCCTGGTGGTGTTCTCTGGTAAAGTTTGAGTAGCCTGGGTACCTACTCCACTTGGGAAGGAGACACCTTAGACCACATTTCGCGCGGGGAAAATTTGAAAGGTGATGGAGGCATGTCTGGATAACCCAGGGTTTTTGAGACGTTCCCCTGGGTGGGTATTCACGGATGAGGGTTGACTTGGGGTGAAGAAATAGCCGCCATAACTTCGCAGTGGTACTTGCAAATGAAACCCGAGGCATGAGTGCTCCTCTTGTAAATTGAGTCATCTTTTCTATACTTTTCTTTGATATTGTGTCATAGCTAGATTGCTGCATACGCAATTAAAATCTGATGCAAAAATAAAAAAGATTCGTGTGATGACGCTGGATATTATCCTTCATTCTATTCCAATCAGCCTCAATTGGTAAAGATCAGACAAGTTGGCCGGCCAGAAAACCGATTTGATGATTCTCTTACTCAGTTCTTCCATCGTCTACCCAAGTTTCGTCTGTCCATGAAACTGACGTCCAGTCTTCATATGTCCAATTGAGATGAGCTTCGGCCCATTCTCTGCGTGTCTTCATAGTTTTCTGAGATACTGGAGGCTTCTATATGACCTACATGTCACTGATATCTTCTTTTTTGAATTTCTCTTTGTATTACTCGCTTGCTAACACCAAAATATCTAAAAGGGCTAGGGGCAAGTTCCAGAAATGTTTTGCGGCGGTTTTCAGGTGAAGTCTCAATGTAAGATATAATTTGATCAACACCATCTGCTTTCAGTCATGAGGATGTTCATTTTCTCTTTTTGAATGAGACAATTTCTCAGCGCAATAAATAACCCGCTTATCCCTGAGAAATGCCTAGTTGCACGGCAATGTGCGTTTGGTTTTTGCCAGAATCATGGGGTCCATAAATCTTAAAATTTCTTTTAATTTCGTTTTGCTCATTTTAAATTTTGTACTTCCTAAATTGTTTTGATCTTTAGATGATTGTTTGATTCGAGGTGTTGAAGGTGGGGTTTGACGTGGATTAATTTGCAAAATAAGGTTTGTACCGAGTAAATCCATATGTCTTCGGAATAAATGTCTTTGTATTTGAGAAATCTATTTCTTATTGTCATTCAACCACAAGATGAGAAGAGCAGTGTAATGTTTTAGCTGTCGGCGGTCATCAAAGTGATGGCAAAGAGATAGAGAACAGGTTGGATTTGCATAAAACTGAGGGTGACATGAGATCAAATTGTGCCCTTGGTATAGGCCATGGAATCCAGGACAAGAATTATGTACCCTGTCGAAATGGTCGCTAACAGGGGTACAACCCCTGAATCGAATATGCGCCCCATTTAAATCCACTGAAAACTTGAAATTGTGGCACCATAGAAAATCTGGATCAATCTCATGCAAATATATTCTTAAGTGGCGACTAGGATTACAGACACCACGAGAATATTGAAGTGGAGGAGGTCACATTTATGGATGTAATTTCTACACATTTTATGCCACAACAGGAGCCGGCAAAGACGAATTCTTCACTTTCCAGTGGTGCCGGTGTCATTGCTCAGTATGCCATGCATATCTGGGATAGCCAAGAAGAATCGCATCCGAATCGAAGTCAAAAGCAACCTCAAGCACATCTCCATTTGACGACTTCTCAATCATGCAGCACTCACCATTCTCATCTGAGTCCTCATCCTCTATCTAACCACAAATAATCTCGCCTAAACGACCGATAAAGGCGTCACCCCAATTGCAAATAGGAGCTTGCCTCATTCGTTACGGGCCATCACCCACTACAAATTTACGACGCTACGTATACCCGCAAGGAGGAAATTAAGTCGAAAAATACAAAGCCTGGGTCTTGGCTTATTTGGGACTGTTGCTCTAATGGGACAAACAACTTGAGGGAGAACAGGCGGCTGAAATGTGGAACGAGAGGGGGAACAGGTCTTTGAAGACCAAGCTGGAACTGATATTTTCGAGGGGCTTTCAAGTTTGGATTCTTTGTGGGTGCCAAGACGAAGCTTTCGGCTAATTTGCCAGGAAGGCTTCTTTTGTCGATGAGTCAATGGCACTCCCCAGCGCTCTGGAAGGCACAGAAAAAGTTGGGGCAAGCTACCATACAGCAATCACGCTCTATCAAGACTATTCTGAAATTTCAGCACGACTTTCGGGAAGGAGGCTAGAAAGGCGGATGGTGAATTTCCCGAGGTACCCACAAGTCTGCAGCGCCCAGCTGGCCGGCATCTTCGAACGCTTCAGAAGGATCACTATGTCTTCGGATCTAGTCCTAATGTCGGTATTAGGAGAGCTCCGCACCCAGTGGTTTTCGCGATATTTCTTGGCTGCCATACACCCGCAAATGGCCATCGTTTCGTTGACTGGAGAGGGGAGATAATGAAGGGCAAGGGGCTCCTCTTAGTGTATGATCGAATGAGGACTTGTGAGGGGTGGTACTGTTTGAGGGGAGCTGTATGGGAGGCATAGGAGGGATATACTACTGGTATAGGTCCCCTTGGCCTGTAGGCAGAGAAGACCTGCATATCCTACATAGTCATTGACTCAGAAAGGACAATAAAATGATTAATGTAAGCAGACTTGTGCTTGCATAAGTCTGGATCCAGTCCAAAAGCGAAAGCAAGATCTGCGTGCAGGCATGTCAGACTAGTAATGATGATCAGGGGCATCAATAGGGTAAAACTAGATATTATAGTTCTAAGATGGACTCGAAGCACGGAGACAATTAATCAATTCATTCCTGTATTCGCTTTTACCTTTTGACGATTCACGTGACATTCGCACGAAGACCTCTCTAAGTTTTACAATTAATAATAATATGCTACAGCAGGAGGAGTATAAGTATGAGGAGGCAGCTGAGTCGCCTGCTACGATTAATCAAGCACTAAATGGCCTCAAGTGCCCGCTCAGTTTCAAGGAGCATAAGCCAGATACCTACTACATGGAGCTCACGATACTCTTCCGCATGGAATAAGCCTCCAGCATTAGGCAGAGCTTAAAAGAAGTCAATGGACATTAAATAGCTGGTTTGTCGGATCATTGTCTGTAGTTCATGATGTCATGTGGCTACATCATGTGACATACTACCACAAAATCTTCCCGTAGCATTGAAGAGAATAGAGAATACACAAGAAGAATCATTGATGACATACTGCTAGAAGTTACGTAGTGAATACGCCTACCAACAGGTTTAAATAATATATGAGATAGAAGAATATCACGTTTGGGGGACTATTCTCAACACCTGTCAGTGGTGTCCCCTACGAACCTCCAGCTCTCACTATAGAGTCTGCAGAGCTGAGATTGAGTAACAAAGTCCTAACTCCGACGAGGATTCCCAATCGCTTTCGCGGTCTGTATCGTCTTCATCTCTCAACACATTCCCCTTTCACCATTATCATGAAGCTAACCACGATCAGATCAGATGGTAGGGTCGGAGCCCTATTCATCACCAACCATTGATCATGGAGGAAATTTCGTCCGATGAGTTTCCGGAGCGTACCCAGCACCCGATACGGAGATGGTGGATTGGATCAAGTCGACTTCAACTGTTACAAAGAAGGGAGATATAGATGAATATGCGCACCTCATGTGGTCCCGGTGTCTAGGCCTCGCCTGGCTGGGGCTGCAGGTTTTTTGGGACTTTTTCCTGCGCACGTAGTTTCCATTGCTACCATTTTTTTTTTTGGGTAGAAGGCTCCGTGGAAAAGGTGGCCGAACTCCACGGGTAAATACTGAGCTGAATGGCTATTCATTAAGGGGAATATATCAATGATCTTTGAAGTAATAAAAGAAGATTGGAGCACTGAACAAGGCGTGGCCTTGGTCAGAGAGGAGCCCGATGTGCCAGATAGTCATCGACTCAGGTGATGTAAGTAAAACCTTTGTAACCAATCAAAGTGAGCTACTGATGAAGCTACGGCGTCATTTACTGGATTTCAAACAAAATTGGTAGTTTTTAGCCTGAACTTTTCTATATTCTCGGCACAGTATTGAGCCGAGGTGCATAAAGTTCGATTCTCGGAACAATATGTATCCTATGTTCTTTACTTGCACCTCTTTTTAGGGGTTTCCCGCTGATATATGCGCCATCGTATGATGATCTAAGAGTGCCTATATTTTTGTCTTTAAGATTCTCTTCAAGAAATTTTTTACGACTGTCCAAATACTCATTGAATTCCCACTCGTCCGCCATGGGATTTCGAATGAAATATTCTCCCCGAGCTCTCTTGAGATATCCGGCCAAAAGTACCTCGGTCTCGGAAAAAATTTGACTACTTTGATACAAGTGTTTGTAAATCAAGTCCCCATTTAACCTTTCAACCCCTAGTCTGGTATAGGGCATCCAGTCGCCACGTGAGGTCCTTTGAAATATGTGCAAATGACCCTGGTACCAAGCCAGTGCTCTGATTTGCTTACCATCATCCACACCCTTAAAGACTTGCTCCTGGTAGATTATTTGCGCTAAAGTAATTTTCTCGTCAAACATGATTCCTAGGCTTGAAGTTCCTCCAGTCGGAACAAAATTTTTCAAGTTTCCTTCTATTACAAGCTGACCCTGGAATGACATGTTGGCTAGCACTTTTGGAGTACAATAGTTATACTTATGCTTTGACCAGCGTTGATGTGGGCGACTTAACCAAAGCTTCCGATTACCTCTTGGATTCTCTTGATATTTTAAGATTTCTGCATGGCAGCGATAACTTGTCTCTATTGGCGTCTCAAACTTACGGACGGCATCTTCTGTGATGTCGACCAACTTGTCACTGATTTTTCCTATCATGTCGTAATCTTTATATCTATGTGAGCAATAAAGCTGGACAAATGTGCCGGCTCTTTCAACTTTAGTTTTAGTCATGATTATACTTTTATCGTGAGGAACTGGAAATTGGCCATCTGGAGGAACTTCAAAGACGCCATAGTTGGGATACGAGTAATCCTTGACCGCGAATACCATGCGATTATGTTGGGCAGTATTTCTTTCTGCGATCAGTATAATAGCGGCAATGCAGACCATTGTATGAGGAGACCGAAAGTATCGCTCGAAATCTTCGGAGAATTAATTTTGATTTCTGGGCAAGAGACGCTGTAATTCCGGGTCAATTTTCCGAGCTATGTGACGAGCAGCGGTGAATGTTGTTTGTAATTTTCGGATAGTAGTGTGACTAAAAAGGAGGATCAGTCATTGAAAAAGATAAGGGCAGGCCATGACTTTCACAAGAATTAATTCTATACTTATCATGTCCTCATCTTACTTGACTTGTGTTTGACGAGTCGTGAGTGCTGGACTTGCCGCGTTTGGGAACTGAAATAGCGTGTGGACAGGCAGTTTCTATGTCATGCGTAACCGATATTGACTCGTTCTGATTCATTCCTTACTTTCTGTTCGGTATTAAATTTACAAGACTACGTGGACAGCAATCTATGTTGGAATGAGACAGAGTTAACAGGCCATAATACCCGTAAATCCACCACGACAACTGAGGCTAAATTGATGTCGAGGGTGCGCCTTCATTTCGTTCCTTTCAGTCTTGCCGCAAATATCAGCTCCTCTAACTCTGTGAATGTTAATCGGTAATAGTGTTGGAGTCTCTTTTCAAGATGATACCCTGTTCTTCTGGATATTTAAGTGGCTTGAATAGCCGATGTGGCGATCCTAAGAGGTCGTAAGCAGATTATTTCATCGTCCTATCTAACAAAAAGTGATTCGTTATGCGCGTAAGTATTAAAACAGACTGTGAGGCGAGGTAATAGCCAAGATAACTATACGCAGGCTGTTTGCTGAGAAGCACATGAAAGCTTATTCGTATGTCCTGTTGCGAGTAAGAGCAAAGGAGGGCAAATACTCAAATCATGTAGGCAGTGTCATCCGCGATCCTGAGAGTGAAATATTCTCCCTGAGCCAAGTTCAGTCACAACATGGGTGGGATGAATAATTTTTGATGGATTTTCGCCTTGGAGGAGTTTATGTTGCATCACATTTTGATTACGTATGCAGCTAGCTAGTTATGACAAAATATCAATGAAACAATACACTGTAGATAACTTACTTAAAAAGTAGAAAACTCATGCCTTGGATTCATTTGCAGAAGCTACTGCGAAGTTATACTGGCTTTTTCTTCACCCCAAGTCAGCCCTCATCCGTAAATACCCACTCAGGGCAACGTCTCGAAAACCCCGAGTTATCCTTACATGCCTCCATCATCCATCAACTTTTCTCCGCGCAAAATGTGATCTCAGTCGTCACTTCTAAAATAGAGAAGATATTCTAGCTACTCGAACTATAGATGAAAACACGACAAGGAGGCGGACCACAGCAACTTCCATCGTTGGCTTGTGTTTATAGTGTCATCTGCACTCTCGCGATCGAAGTGTTAGTACGCACAATACTCTTTAACATGTAAATCTCCTTGCCAGAATTCGGAATTTCACACCTGTCTGGATTGCGTTCATCCTCTACATCATCTTGTAAACTTATCCTGATCTGTCTCACGTCCACTCTAGATAACTTCTAGCCTGAATTGTGCGCGACATTTAGTTTCCACCGGCGTGTTTTTAAATTCTTGTGGGCATGTAGGTGGAGGCCACTTGATGGTAGAGACTTATTTGACTGGAGGTGTGACTTTCGAAATGAGATTGTTCTTTCTTGTACTTGCAGACTTGATGCTTAAGTGGGAATTAGTCGTGTTGGGATGATCGCTTCGAGGGCCTACTTCCTTGGTATTGTGAAGTTTGACTAAACTTGGCTCCTAGAGATTATTTTAATCCAGGGTTCGTAGATGACATCGCGTACCGGTGTTCAGTCTCTCACCTCCAAGAGCTGAATTATTTTGTGCTAGAAAACATGCCTCACAGTGGTCACCTTCCAGTGGTGCCGGTGTAAACGCTTAGTATGCTCTGCATGTCTGGGATAGCCAAGAAGAATCGCAACCGAATTGAAGTCGTAAGCACTCACAAGCACATCTTAAATCGTCGACTTCTCGCCAGTGTCCGATCTATCATCCTCAAGCGAGTCCTCCACCTCAATCTTGCTACACCACCTCGCCTCACATACCGATAATGGCGTTACTCCAACTGCAATCGGGCATTTGCCTCAACAAAAACCGGCCATCTTCCACTACACATTTACGATGCTATGTATACCCGCGAGGAGGAAACTAAGTCATAACATACAAAGCTCAGGTCTTGGTATGTGGGAGACCGCTGGTCTAATGGGGCTTCACATCTGGAGGGAGAATGGGCAGCTGGGACGTGGGACGAACGAGTGAAGAGGTCACAAATGGGCATGCTGGAATGCACATTTTTCGAGTATTTTCGAGTTAAGGGTATCTGTGGGTGCAGAAACAACGATTTCGGATAGTGCATCCGACACTCTAAAAACTAGCAATGATGGAAGGTGTTTTGGTCCGCCTACTGGTCATCATCTCCCCGAGTTAAAGTCAGGGTAGCCTGGACACCTCCCTCACTCGAGAAAGGGAGGACTGTGAGGCCATATCTCGCGCGGTGGCTATATACAGGATGACAAAGGCATGTTGAGGTAGCCAAAGGATTTTCTGCTTTCCCTTTGGTGGATAAAAACGGTTGAGGGAAGGGTGAGAGTCCCTTGCACAGAGGTCTCGAGCGGAATCAGCGAATGCGCCCAGTACATTGGTGGTACAAATTTCAAACTGAGTTATCGTCGTATATGGTCGTCGGTGAAGGGCTAGCCTTCTCCATGGGATGTTCTCTGAGTGCTAGGCTTATGCACGTCACGAATAAATATTCCTTAATTCTTACCTCACAGTAATGATGTTTTTTATTGTGCTGCTGAAGTCTTAGATTATCTAGCACATTGGGCTCTTTTCTGAACCAGGCCATACCTAGTACAGTGCTCCTTGCCTCTTTTGTTAATTTAAAGATCATTGATAAATTGCCCGTGATGAACACCCATTCAGCTCACTATTTACCCATGAATTTCGGCCACCTTTTTCCACTGAACCTTCTACCTACGAAAAATAGAATGGTAGCAATGGAAACTGCGTGCGCGGGAAAAAGTCTCAAAAAACCTGCAGCCCCAGCCAGGCGAGGCTTAGACACCGGGACCACATGAGATGCGTATATTCATCAATTTCTCCCTTCTTTGTAACATTCGAGGCCGACTTGATCCAACCCGCCATCTCCGTATCGGGTGCTGGGCACGCTCCGGAAACTCATCGAATGGCTTTTCCTTCATGACCAAGTGTTGGTGATGAGTAGGGCTCCGACCCTGCAATCTGATCTAATCGTGGTTAACTTCCTGATAGTGGTGATAGGGGGATGTGTTGAGATGTGAAGAGGATACAGACGTCGAAAGCGATTAGGAATCCTCATGGAAGTGAGGACTATGTATTAAAGGTCTGGAGGTAACTGGAATGATAGAAGTGAACGTTGACCGTCAAGTCAATACTGCAAGAATTTTAAGATGTTGGATATTCAGGACCAGAGATAAAGGATTAGGATCAGCGAGGTTTTTGGTTTTAATGAACATATATTGGTTAAGATTGATAGGTTTCAAACTACATCTAATCATCTTTGTCCTACCTCGCTTAGGTAGAAACATTGTGTTGTGATTACGAGATGGAATCAAACGAACTTTGAATGTCACTGAAACCAAAATAGTCACTCAACATGTACACGAGGTACGGAACCTACTTTATTTTTCCAATGAAGCACAACAATATCCAAATTTTCTATTAACCTCAGAGCTACATAGATAGTTTTAGCTGTCCTTCATAGTCATAGACTCAGTAGGGCATAAATAAAATTATGTTCTACTTCATAGTTCTATGGATGTAGTTACATGGGGGGATGTTCCTAAGGCGCAACAATTCTTAAACTATGGGTAGAGATATCTCACAATGTCTCGAACTGATAAAAATAGTGCTCGCATATAACTTGTATGCCACATCGTACTGAGTGAGGTTTACAGTCACTGAGATCGTTTTCTCAAAACATATATAATGACCTGCGCAGGGATCGAACCTGCAATCTCTTGATTCGTAGTCAAGCGCCTTGCCATTGGGCCAGCAGGCCTTCATGAAATACGCGAAAACTAATTTAAATATAATCCTATTATCATGATCGAAACGTTCATGACTTAGTGCATCATTACGGATAGCTATATCGTGCTTCTTAAAAAATGTATTGACATTCAATGGCTTTATAATTAGCATTGCTTTTGGACAGGACCTAAAAAAAGGTTGGAATTTTTGTACTCTTAAACCCAATCAATGCTTAGCAAGCCATTGGTTAATTAAATAGAGCATGATCCACATTCCAAGGCAAATTGTTGAACGTAATCAATTCCAACAGTCATGGTTGATTATTTAAGCTTGTTAGCGAATAAATTAGACTCTCTCGATGTAAATTGGTTCCTGGGTTATTTGTGGGCGATACGGCGAGCTGCACCAGCGCATGATTTTCTCGCATTAAATGCAAAATTTTTGAGTCAGTAGATAACTGTATTACTTTCATGGTTCGTGCAGAATACTCAATGTTGTTGCGACAAAAATGATATTAACCTGAGATATAGATTGATGGTCGATGAATTGATTTCACGAGGGTGTCTCGTGACTCCGACTATTTGACGTTGAATGAGAGCAGAACTTGGGGCTAAAAATTGTGAGATCCTCATTTCGCAACGCTGGCGCGTCAAGCTATTACCATCTACCAGTTGTCTTCACGTCAAGTCTCTGCTGTGAAAGAGTCATTTTTACCCACCCGTAACACGAGAAAATCAAGGCGCACAATCTGCTCAGTAGGAATTCTGAACTATCATCAACAATATATTGTTAGGGAATCTAAAAATGCGATTTGCAAGTATCCAATGAAATTTCGGTTGGCTCAGGCGTGCGAAGTAGCTAAGATAGGGTGCAATACTGAACACCTGTACACGGTGTCCTCTACAAACCTGGGAGTAAAATATTTTCTGAGACCCAAGTTTAGTCATATATCGCAATACCAAAGAAGTCGGCCCACGAGGCAATGGTTTAAAATACT